TGTTGTTGTACTCTGCACCCTCAGGTTTCTCTGATTAGATTACTTAAGTTATGAATGGGCCAGGCGGCATTAACATAGCCATTTGACAGTCACTGTTGACAGTCACTGTTAGCTAGTCACTGCTAAACAACAGTCACAGTCGGAGTCACAATTCCCACTAACTGGCCCTGGTTTTGTTGATTAAGCTCACCGAAATTTCACACATTGAAACGATCAAAGCGTGGCATAGGAGCCAAAGAGGAGGCGGGGAGAGGAAGCGGTACGCGCGCTATTCAGTTGTCATTCCATAAAAACGGAAATGGCGCTTCCAGCTAAATTCAGCTGTGAATCACAAGGCGTATGAGCAATCTGGCCATAGATAGATACATTTCATTTGTATGTGTCTGTGTCTATGTATATCTGTGTGTATATCAGCGTATCTATGGCTAATCTTTCTACATATAATTTGACCATATATCTTCATAACTTTTACTTACGAGAGCGGACTGCAAATGTCGGCAATTTGGGGAGCATGTACGCTGGCACTCGACATTGTTGCTGCTGGCACTGCAAAGAAAAACCAGAAATGAGGAAAAACATTAAAAAAAAAAATAAGAAACAGAAATTAAACGCAGATAAATATAACAGTTCAGTTCAGTTGGGGGGGAAGTGCCCCTCTCTGATGCCATATGTCAGGGGCAAAACGAGTACGACAAAAATACAGGTAAACAAACGCACGAAGGTAAACGAGCTAGTTGTGCAGCTGCTGTTAGTGTTGTGTTGCTTTTAATGAACAAATTAGTGTGTGTGCCTGTGTGTGTGTGTGTGTGTGGGTATTATAAAACACACTAAATGTCAAAAATGTACATATACATACATATATACATTGTTTATATATATACATTTTGCATTGATACAAGCTACAGGCACAACTGTACCCACATCCACTTGCTCTTCACACATTTTCCAGCTTGATGGTCAATTTATATACATTTAACGACATTCTGCAATATATTGTACTAAAAGACGATAAAAATCCGGTTGAGCTTAAAGGCCATGCACAATAAATTACAGCTTGGCTGGGATATTTTTGATGCGTCATATCAAATTGCTATACTTATTATACACTGTAAACATTCATTTAACTTTGGCCGAGACAATTAAAGTGAAGTCTTAATTTGTGCCAAACTGAAACTTTTACGTTTCCAGCTAAATTGCTGTGACAGACCATATCAACTGATACGTATATATATGTGTATATGTGTAGAGAGGTAGATATATCTGTATGTGTGCTTGTATAATGCACTGTTGTATTTATAGCTCATTTAATGTCGGCACGAGCATCGTGTCTGTCATTAGAGGACCTAAACGGCGGGATGCGGGGCGAGCCCGGTGCAAATCTTGCTGATTTTGGCAGCATTGCAAAATTTTTATTTTTGACACACAGCGACAGCACATGACTTGACTGGTTGTCTGGCTGATCATAAAAAAAAAAAAAAGCAAAAACAGCAAAAACAAAAACAAACAAAATAAATATTCTCAGTTTATTTTTGTTTATCGTTTTTATGTTATTGTTGCTATATTTAGTTGATCATATGAGACCTACAGCGCGCATAAAGTGTAATCAAATTAACGGTACGCGGTAAATGTCGCAGAAAGACTGCAACAAGTTGGCAAATGTAAATGTAAATGTAAACGTTATGTTAATGCGATGTTAAGCGAATGCATTCATACATATGTACATGTATATAGATATACGCAAGTGCATTTTAATGAAGTTTTGCGAACAACTGTAAAACGTAAACTCCATTTTTCTTTTTGCACACGAACACTAGATATCTATCTATATAGACATATCTATATGTATATGGATGTTTGTTTATATATAGACTTGGCATGCAATGCGGTTGCCTGCAACAACTCACAACTAGTTGCATTTAATTAAATTTGATGTGATTTATTTATAGAAGGGCACACACACACACACACACACACACATACATGCATATGTAGCACAGAATGCAAGTCTTGTCTGTATCTATGTGTGTGTGTGTGTCTGAGCTGTTGAGTTTATTTTGGGCACGGAAATACTTACAATTTGTTGCTGTTGTTGTTGTTGCTATTGCTGTTAGCTGCTTTTACAGAATATCTGATTGCTAACGGCGCAAAATATTAATTAGGCGCTATTAATAATCCAAATTGGGCTTTGTCAGTCGTATTGTTAATTTGGTTGGCCTTGCGTAAGCGACAACAATGGAATTGCTTTTCATACAACAAAATTGCAATTAAAGTTTTTGATATTTTCTTTTATTGTTTAACTTTTCACACGCGCTTCGCAACAGTTAAACACACGAATTTCGCACAAAAATTAGCTTTGATTTAATATGCGTAATATCAATAAAATGTTGTGTGACAGTAGCTGCAGCTCACTTTTATAGTTGGGCTTTGTATATGAAATATGTGTTTTATTCCGCTTTGATTTCAACTTGCTGTAGTTGTAGTAGTTCAACAAAAGCCTAAAGACCAAGTGGCATGCACGACAACACAAATATAACTGAAATGAAGTCGCTGACTGCGATGGACTTTTATAGCTAACTGAGCGGATGTGTGCGAGCGAGAGAGCGAGCGAGCGAGCAGCAATAGCAACGGCAAAAGTGAGCACAGTGATATTGCAGGCGAGCGCTGTTGCTGAGTGCGCGAGTGTGAATGCGAGAGAGCGAATGTATGTGTGTGTGTGTGCATGTGTGTGAGTGTGTGGCATGACAAAGCAAAGCTAACGAACTTGTCAGCCTGATGTATGAAAATGCGCACCGCACAGAGAGAGGGAGAGAGCGAGGGAGAGAGAATATATACAAAATGCGAAACGCAGAACAGCGTGGCATAGGGTAAATCAAAGTTAATGCCAAAACGAAACAAGACAAAACTAAATAAATAAGAAAGACCAACTCAGCAGATGTAGTTGGCAACAGGCGAAGATGACGATAAACAGCCAAAACAAAACAACTGTTCCAGAAATAGCAAGGCAGAAAGAGAGAGAGAGAGTGTGTGTAGCGAATGAGAGCACGATAAGAAACGGCAAAATGAGAGATCTAGACAGAAAGAGAGGTAGAGAGCATGTGTGCGATCGATCGCTCGTTTAACGGTCAAACCACAAGGCAACAAAAACAACAAATCTTAAAAAACCCACAGACTCACACACACGCACACACACACACACACGTGCGCTGGCAATACCAATGCTGGTCAATACGTATACGCCGCGTGGAACAAGTCTAATACATTGACTAAATGTAAACTCGAGGGGTTGTTGACGTAGGTAATTTGGACAAGAAAAAATACCGTCCGGAGCAACTAGCGTCAGCACAGACAGCATTTCATTTGAATAACAAATAATATTTGCCATTTGTGACAGGTAGACAAGAGTCCACGGACAGGGAGAGGACAAACGGAACAGATAGACAGCCAGCGATAGCCAGATAGCAAAACAGAACAAAATATGCTCATCAGAACAGGTACTTCACAAATAAGCGCGACCCGTGCTTTATGGCTTCACGGGAACTGATTATCCCGTGGCAAATGCTTATCTAAAACACAAAAATAAATCAAACAACTACACCCACATAATCTTATCGACGCGTGGCCGCAGCTGTAGCCGTAGCATGAAATCTAAAACAACTGTAAACTGCAAAGGTATCAAAGTCGAAGTGTAAGTTATGTATATGGAGCAGAGGCGAATGGAAATTGCCAGCCGTCACATGTGCTAAAAACCAGCAACAAAATATTCGCAAATTTATAGGAATTGCTTTTTTTTTTACAAATTTTTTGTGTTTTTTTTTTTATTTTACAGTCTACATGAGTCGCGCGTCGAGTCGCAGCTCAAATTTCGCTGGGGTCTACGAAAAAAACGGAGCACCCAGCAGATAGAAGATCAACTTAAAAGTGACCCTCGCCAAAAATAATGCAATTCAGCAGCAACGCCAACGTCAACGTCCCAACTATAAAACTACAAACAGAACCAAGCACTCACACACACACACATACACACACACACACACACAAATTTGTATTTATATTATAAACAATTGATGTTTATTTAGAAAGGCTAGAAAATGTGTTCATGATGATCATCACCATTAACAATCATCATCAGCATGCTCATTCTCTCCCACTTTTCCATATTCCTAAGGCATCGCGTTTTCTTTCCTTTTCTTTTTGACTGACATTCAACTTTTGCATGCGACGCAGTTTCACATTGTTGGGGGCAGATTTATTCATTTGCTGATATTATTTATAAATATTAAATTTATTTATTATTTTGTTTCAACGGGGTTAAGCGAGGGATAGAAAACCATTGTCATCGCAGAAGGTCGCGCGGCAATTACTTGAAAAACACCTCTACGCGACGCTCAAAAGATTGCGTCAGTCAACAAATGTGAACGATATTAATATGAACCAATAACCCATGGACAAAATCCTCAGCAATATACATACATATGTATATACTTATGCATATATAGTTATTCATATATAACAAATAATATTTAAACAACATATTGCAAACCTTTTAAAAAGTTATTAAGTGTTCAGCTACGTTCGTTATTTGTTGGCACATATTTGAGTTACCTGCTTGAGATACAGAAATATTTACATACATACATACATACATATACAATGCAGATGAATATATACAAATGCAGATATATGAATGTATACATGCATATACAATGCAGATGCGCGTTTACATATGTATGCATGTA